TGGGGCAAATTAAAAGTTCATAAATTACAATTTCGGCCCAGGAGCAGAGCAACCAGCATGTGAAAATGAGAAGTGCTCCTATGTCATGGGTTTCTCCGAAGAAGTGCCAGAAAGCCCAGAAGCAAAGATGGAAAATGGCCAAGCATGTGGCAAAATGGGTAAGGCTGCCTGAGGGCTGTGGGATGGGGATGGCTCAGGGGGCCCCACAGACCCTGGGAAGAGTGGAGGCAGGTGCTCCAGTCCGCCCAGAATCCTGTTCTCTGCATTTGCTTCACCCAAGCTTTTGGGGAACTACAGGGAGGCAAGAGATCGTTATAAAGTTTTACTTATCAGGATGGGCTCTGTTGATTACATATGGGTGACGTCATAGAGCGGTGCTCTTTAAAGTGGCAGTTATCCTGTTTATTGCATTAATATGTTAAGTTACACTCAATATTCCATGGAACCCAAGACAACCCAGTGAACTTCTGCTGGCAGATAATAGTGTCATTTTGCTACACCTTAGAAAGGCCTCACCCAAAAGACAACTAATCCAGGTACTTAATTGTCAGGAGGGAAGACTGCAGATCTACTCTTACCCCAAACCATACTTTTGATAGAAGACCCAGGGCCCATCCTAGACTCATAGTTCTCAGTTTAGTGGTTCCTCTAGAAGAAAGAGAGGAATGACTATCCAAACATCTTTATAAACTCCAGCCTTCTATAGTATGAATTGTCCTAAAATCTGTAACTTTTATTTATTAATTTCTGTTTCCTCACCACCACTTGTTATTTTCTAGATACTGTGGGTATTGGAAACAACTCTACTTTGGAAAAACCCAAGAGGAAGAGAAGTAAGAATAAACAAGAATTTACTTGCTTTCAGTGTTACAAATATGTTTTTAATGCCAGAGTTTTCTTATTGTCATTGTTACTATTTTTGTTATTATTTGCAATACTATAGTAGACACACTGGTGGCCTCCCCAAAAAATGTCCACCTCCTGATCCCTGGACTGTCATCTGCTATCTTACATGGCAAATGGGACTTTACAGATACAATTAAGCTAGGGGCCTTGAAGTGAGGAGATTATCCTAGGTTATGTGGGTGGGTCCAAACTAATCTTGTAGGCTTTAAAGCGTGGAGAACTTTTCCTGGCTATGGAGAAGGGAAAATGTGACTATGGAAGAATCATCAGAAATATGTAATGTTGCAGGCTTTGAAGATGGAAGAGGGAACCAAGGAATGTGGGTGACCTCTAGAAGCTGAAAAAACAAGGGAATAGGTTGTCCTTTCCAGCCCCCAGAAAGGAATGAAGATCTACTGACACCTTGACTTTAGGCAGTAAGACCATGTCACACTTCTCAGTGGCATAACTGGAAGATAATATATTTGTGTTGTTTTAAACCACTAAATTTGTGGTAATTTGTTATGGCAACAATTAAGAGTAATATAGATGTTGGTACTTGGCCATGGGGTGTGGCTATCACATATTCCTGAAAGTGTTGGGATGTCTTTGAGATTGGGCAGTGGAAAGAGGTTGGAAGAATTTTAAATAGTGTGATTGGAAAATCCTAGATGAAAAAAATGGAAGTTAAGTCAATTAATAACCCTACAATGGTCTCTAAGTGCTCACGTTAAAGGAAGAGTCACGTGTACTCACTTTAAATAAAAATCTAGAAATGATGAAGCTTAGTGAGGAAGCTATGTCAAAAGTTGAGATAGACTGAAAATTAGGCCTCTTGCAGCAAATAATTGGCCAAATTATGACTGCAAAGGAAAAGTTCTTGAAGGAAATTAAAAGTGCTACTCCAGTGAACACTTTAATGACAAAGCAGAGCAGTCTTATTGCTAATGTGGAGAAAGTTTGAGTGGTCTGGATAGAAGATCAAATCAGATTCCCTTAAGCCAAAGCCTAATCCAGAGTAAGGTCTTAACTCTCTTCACTTCTCTGAAGGTTGAGAGATGTAGGAAGCTTCATAAGAAAAGTTTGAAGGTAACAGAGGTTAGTTCCTGAGGTTGAAGGAGAGAAGCTGTCTCATAACATTAAAGTGCAAGGCAAAGCAGCAAATGCTGATGTAGAAGCTTCAGCAGGTTGTCCAGAAGCTCTAGCTAAGGTCATCGATGGAGTTGGCTACACTAAACCACAGATTTACAGTGTAGACTGAACAGCCTTCCACTGAAAGAAGATTCTATCTAGAACTGTCATAGCTAGAGAGGAGAAGTCAATGCCTGGCTTCAAAGCTTCACGGGACAGGCTGAGTCTCTTGTTAGAGGCTAATGGAGCAGGTGACTTTCACTTGAAGCCAATGCTCATTTACCATTCTGAAAGTCCTTGGGCCCTTAAGAATTATTCTAAGTTTACTCTGCCTGTGCTGTATAATTGGAATAAAGCCCAGATGACAGCACATCTGTTTACAGCATGGTTTACTGAATATTTTAAACCCACCGTTGAGACATACTCCTCAGAAAAAAAGATTCCTTTCAAAATATCACTGTTCATTGACAGTGCACATAGCCATCCAGGAGCTCTGATGGAGATGTACAAGGTGATTAATGTTCTTTCCATGTCTGCTAACACAACATCCATTCTGCAAGCCCATGAATCAAAGAGTAATTTCAACTAGCAAGTCTTAATATTTAAGAAATACATGTTGTAATGCTATAGCTGTCTCTATACATAGTGATTCCTCTGATGAATCTGGGCAAAGTCGATTGGAAACCTTCTGGAAAGGATTCACCATTTCACATGTGATTAAGAACATTCATGATTCATGAGAGGAGGTCAAAATATCAACATTAGCAGGAATTTGGAAGAAGTTGATTACAACCCTTATTGATGACTTTGATGGGTTTAAGACTTCAGTGGAGGAAGTCACTGTAGATGTGATGGAAATATAAAAAAAACTAGAATTAGAAGTGGAGGCTGCAGTGGCTCACACCTGTAATCCCAGCACTTTGGGAGGCCAAAGCGGGCAGATCACCTGAAGTCAGGAGTTCAAGACCAGCCTGGCCAACATGGTGAAACCCTGTCTCTACTAAAAATACAAAAATTAGCTGGGCATGGTGACTTGTGCTTGTA